AGAGTTCACATATATAAGTTTATAACATTGTCTTTTCCTCTGAACTATTTCTAAGCCTGAAATGTCTCAAAAAAAAACAGAAATATAGTTCTTTCGTTCCTGGTTATTTTTTAGATGAGTATATAATGTTATAATAAGGAAAAATGTACAATGGAGGGAAGGAAATTAATAAGTCCTCCAATATCAGAAATTAATGGTAATTGGAAGTTGAAAAATGTACACAGTGTATGATAATTTTTTTATACGAAGAAGCAATTGAAATTTAGGAAAAAAAAAAAAAAATTCTAAAGGTGGATTTTAAAATAAATGTTCATTAAAATCAAAGATGCAAAATATAGATTCCCTCAAAATTATTTTTTCAACGACCCAAGTCCCTAGTTTTTTTTTTTTTTTTAGAATAAAATATTAAAATATAAGCGTTATTGCAATCAGATTGGAAGATCGAAAGAAATTTGTACTTACATGGTCATCAAAGAATTTATTTAGGTCGCTAATACTCTTTTTCGAAAATATTGACTTAAAGTCAAACCCGATTTCTTTTACTTTTTGCATAATTGCCTGCTCGTCCTTCAAGAGTAAAGAGATTAATTCAAAAGTTTATAGTGTTTTACCGAATATTAAAATAAGTTAGATATTTACCGATGCTTCCTTCCATGCATCCAAGTATCCCGATACCACCTTTTCTATACCCTTATCATCATCTACTTCAAGCAAAGGTTTCATCAATTCCGCTACTTCTTTAAGCTCAATTGAAGAACTATAAAACAACTGTCCAGTAAAGGCATAAGACTTTGGAGCATCTGCACCAATTTCTGCTAGAAATTCCACTGTTGAACTAAACCCTTTCATAAATATTGGTTTTGTTATTACGCCCTTTGTAACAAATGTCTTAAACAAATCGGTGACTTTATATACATCTTCCTGTTTCTTCTCAAGAGCCTTATTAGCAAACTCTGTGATTGCCATTGAGTGATATTCTTTGGGCAAATCATTTATACAATAAATCACTTCCTACAAAACGATGAGAAACATTCAATAATCTTTAAGGCGACATCAATACTGCAATATTAAATTACACATACTCCTATGTCTAATACATTAAAGTATTCTTCAATCATATTATCAATCTTTTTCCTTGCTGTTTCTTCTGACATCGGAGATGCAGACGAAGATTTCGTCATAATTGATTTAGGAGCATTATTCTCATCAGATATAGTCTTTGATGGCGGCATAAGTTGCAACTTTTTTCTTTCCATCGAAGTAGATTTTTGCGAATCAAAAGACCCATCAGAGGACTTACGGGTCTCAGTGTCAGTATGAGTTAGCACGCTATATGTGTTTGATGTCGAATTTGCACGGGCCATGCCTAAAGTCTTATCATCACGATCTTTGCTTTCTGTTTTCCATTTTGATGAAAAGGCACCTCCACCCGGTGTCAAATTTACACTTCCTGAGACCTTGTTACGTAAAGCTCCAAATTTTGATAAATCGCCTGTTTTCCGTGATGCCGATGGTGCTACCGTACTCCAACCATCAGTTTGTTGTCCACCAGAGCCGTGTGGGCCCGACCCCTTATCACGACGACCAGATCCAGTTCGTGACATTTGATCCGCCATTTTAGGCAATCCTACCAACCAACACAAATAAAATTAGCCAAATCCTACGTTAAGAAAGTATTCACAATATTCGATTTCTTTAATTACCTCGACCACCTGAACTAGCCGTTCTCCGCATAAATTCGGCCTCCTCTTTTTGTTTTGCCGCCTGTAAATAGTTAAGACGATTGTTAAATAAAAAACGTATCATATTATATAACAAACAATAAAACAGATGAATCTTACATCTTCGTGAATTTCTGCAATAGTCTTCGGAGCATTATTATCACGTCTCGGTACCCAATCATTATTTCGTAATTCAATTACATCCTATAATGAAAATTTCTATGAGATAAGTTCAATGAAAAAAATTTTATTTTCAATAACTTACCATTAACATGAATCTTATACGGCTGTTCAATGCGTTGTTTTTTGACATGGATTCCATCCGTTCAAAATATTGATTCATGTGAGATTTAGCTTTAAAATGATCGAGTTGTTGTCCGACAGTAGTCAACAGTTTACATAAACTTTCCATTTCTTCCTCTTCCGGGTTCCCGTTACTTAATAGTTTTTTTATACATTCGTGCATAATACGCTCGGTAAGCATGTTTAATTTGAACAGTTCACC